TTATTACTAACAAGTGTTTTGTTTCTTTTTTTAATGGATGTTCAGTTGAGCATTGTTGATGTTTTGTAATGCACGTTCCTCTTATCCAAGTCATTCTCATACTGTCGAGATCAAATTTTCCGTAATTTGCATCCACAAACAACATTCATCACAGAAAGCCGAAATTATTTCAGTAGTTGAATATGCCGAAAATCTACTTCATGAGAAAGGGCGTGCCATAGCTGTCAGCAGAGCGCTCACATCTTCGATCAATACAATTTTAATCCAAGCCATTTTCACCCATTCACGTTCGTGCAGTGTTCATTTGTGTGTTTACTTGCTCAGCACTCTACGCTCTCCAATTCCTCATATTTCAACCATATTCACTATTTACTAATTTAAAAAAACAATCAACACCTAATGCCTCCGAAGCCATCAGCGAAAGGAGCCAAAAAAGCAGCGAAATCGGCGAAACCACGAGGTGAGAAGAGGAAACACGTTCGACGAAGAGAATCCTATTCGGTTTACATCTACCGCGTTCTCAAGCAAGTTCATCCAGACACTGGTATTTCTTCAAAAGCAATGTCCATTATGAATTCATTCGTTAACGATGTCTTCGAACGAATCGCCGCCGAAGCCAGTCGTCTTGCCCACTACAATAAACGCTCAACAATTTCATCTCGTGAAATTCAAACCGCCGTTCGACTCATACTACCCGGTGAATTGGCAAAGCATGCTGTCTCTGAAGGTACCAAAGCTGTCACCAAATATACCAGCTCTAAATAGCCATCTGTTCCTTCCTTTCGATTTCATTCCATCCAAAACCAACCACATACTCATAAATCTCCTCGAGTTGTTCTTTGTGTCCCAATCTCTGTATATANTGTTGAAGAATGTAATTAAAGAAAAACTACTCCTTAGTTTTACTTTGAAATTTTCAGTAGTTTCTTCGTTTTTTTGTTCGACTTGCAGTCGATTTATAATTTTGAGCTGATCGTGTATCTACTAATGATAATGTTTGCTTTTAAATGTAATCTTCATTGTATAAATATTTTTTTCATCATGAAACCATGTGAAGACTGTATTAGATCAGAGCACAGCTGATGCCAGTAAGCTGCGGTAAAATGAAGAATTGTAACTGGGATAACGAGATGCAATTGAGGCATGACAAAGTTTCCATTTGGCTTTATTCAATCACCTACCTCTAGAACGTGTTATTTGCCCTCTTTACACACACGCAATAAGCCGATGCAAATCATCAACTTATCGCGCACACACACTTGTTCATATCAATCAATTGTCGTTGCATCGAATTCTCTTGCCATCCAATCATAAAATACTATCGCCGCTAAAATANCACACACGCAATAAGCCGATGCAAATCATCAACATCGCGCACACACTTGTTCATATCAATCAATTGTCGTTGCATCGAATTCTCTTGCCATCCAATCATAAAATACTATCGCCGCTAAAATATCTGCTAAAAGCGAGTCGCTAAGCGGTCGTCTGTCTCTCAAGTACAAACAACGCTTGAGAAATCGATGATTTGAGCGGTGTGTATGGGACAGCCAGCAAACAGAGAGTGTGTTGCACTATTGTTGTTGTTGTTGTGTAATTAAAGCTGTAAGTAAGTTGGTGACAGCGAGATGTCAGGACGGGGCAAAGGAGGTAAAGGCCTGGGTAAAGGTGGTGCGAAGCGTCATCGTAAAGTGCTAAGGGACAATATTCAAGGAATCACCAAACCGGCCATCCGTCGTTTGGCTCGTCGAGGCGGTGTGAAGCGTATTTCTGGACTCATCTACGAAGAGACGCGTGGTGTCTTGAAGGTGTTTCTTGAGAATGTTATACGCGATGCTGTCACATACTGTGAGCACGCGAAACGCAAGACCGTCACTGCAATGGATGTCGTTTATGCACTGAAACGTCAAGGAAGAACGCTTTATGGTTTTGGTGGCTGATCTTATCGATCGATTATGCGTTGATCATCGTACGAATATCAGCCACAAGTGATCACCACTCAAACGTCTTGAACACTCTTTGCATGTTCTCTGCACGTTTGAAATATTTATTTTCTATTAGTGGCATCTAATTACTTTACGTTTATTGTTTTGTCGTTTTTCGCTCATAACAAATTTCCAGCTGGAAAATTCATCTCTTAAATTGTACATATGTTTCAAATTTCTTATATCCAGTCATCGCTCTGCTCGTGTCTTCATTCAACTAACAAGTCATGACCAATCGTTCAGTGATGGTGTCCTTTTGCCCACTTCATTGCATACACGTGCTTGTTTTATTGCTAATAAATATATTTTCGCTACCGTTTCCAGTATTTCAACAGTGCAAA